TTGGGGTTCTCCAACGGTGGCTGATAGCTACGTGATCCAACTTGGACCACGGTTGATTCGCAGTTGGTGGCCTCCAGGGTACGCCGTGCAAACGTCTATGTTCAAAGTTCGTACTTGCCGAAAACAGTTCATGATCAGCACACAACTGGAGGAGTCTATCTCCGTTGTCTGTGCGGCGAGCACCGACTCAGAATCGACCAGCCAAATGTGATTCTGAGGAGCTAAGACGACATACTTGAGCATTTAAATCGCCTGCGATGTCGGTGCTTTTTGCCTGACGAATGAGCCCGGATAGCTCTCGATAGAAAGTATCCTTCTCCGCATCAAAACTGCAGTCCGTTGGGACATAAGCCGACACGACAAACAGACACCGCTTTTTATGCCTAGAGGCATTGTGCCTGATTGAACTGGATAACCTGACGGCACAGAGGCGACTGTTCACTGGGATCTAATCCAGCAAACGCGTTCAGCTCTGGAGCTGAGTGCGACTCCCACACCATATATTCCACGAGTCATCGCTCTTGGGTCACCGGACACACGGAGGGAGAAACGTGAAAGAGCTGAGTTCATCCTTGGCGTTTTGAGATGCATAACCACGCTCCTTGTATGCGTGTTTTGGAGACACAGCATGCAACAATTTTAAAGGGTACAAGGTTTCAGCAAGCATTGCCTGTTTGCAAATTTGACATAGAGTACAGACGTTAAAAGCTCCTATTTGGAAAGTATCTCGTGGATTTAGAAAGGTGTTATTTTGTTTAATGTTTGTAGGCAGTGAGGAGCCTAAGGCCCTTCAGTCAGATGACTGACAGTCAAATGGCCCAGCAGCGTTTGCTTGTGTGGTGGGAAGGGGTTTCGGAGGGACATCGTTGGGCAAATGATACTTCCCGGTTGCCCAGGCCGAGGAAGGGGGTTTGGTTGAGGTACCACACCTCGAGCCTTCGACTCAAAAGTCTGACCCACGAGGCAGTGGGAGAATGAAGGTTTTTGTTCGGGGACCCTGACCCTAGCCTCTGACTCAAAAGTCTGACACACGAGGCAGTGGGAGAATGTAGGGTTTTCTTTTGGGACCCTGCCCGGAGCCTACGACTGCCCGGCTGCCCGGCTGCAAGGGGCTGGGCTTATCAGAGGGCTTGGGGAATTAGACAATAATGTCTCATTCTTAATTCGGCTGCGCACAGCAGGTGCCTTTTGAGCAGCACCGGGCTCTTTGGTTTTAAAAGTATTTTGACCGAATTGGATAATGCGCCGGCGGTCACGGTCAACCGTTGGGCGATCGGAGTGGCGGTTTTTGGGGGCCGACCTTTTCTAACCCGTCCTCCCTCTGGGGAAGGCAGAATCTCTACTTCCATAAATATGGACATGCTGGCCACCTGGGGAAACACCTTACTGCCTTGACAGTCCTATCGCAGAGGACAGTACGACTTTACCTCCAGACCGCCTCGTAATATGATTACTCGTATTACGGGATCTCGCTGCTCTTGATCTGGCTGCTCCCTCTTGGCCTTCCTGTCATGGTGCACCTTGTGGAACAAAGTTCAGGCCAGTATAGCCCGCGGGATCATTGCAGCACTCAAGCCCGACTACCACGTTAAGGTGACAGCTTTAGGTAGGGTCAAGTGACTTATAGTGACCGACAAATGTGATAGTGTTTGAGCAGCAGATAAAAACCTCAATAGATCTTTCCCCCCTTTCTACATCCACAGCAATCAGTAATAGTATGAGCTAATACTAATTGCGAAAAGGATACCAGCCGTGAGTAAGACTGTAAAACGATTGTTTTTATTGTTTGCCGTCTTTGTTTTTTCTCATGGCTTTAATCATTCTTGCACCAAGGAAATAGAGCCTGTGTGATATCATGGTGGGATAGTTGCTTTAGACGACCCAATCCAAAATCGGAAATCTGTCTCGCTTACGACTGTTACCAGGAGCTGGTTACACATGTGTTTTTCCCGTAGATTTGTTCATCAGGTGGGAGTTGAGAACGCGCATTTCTTGCTTAATTTTTTGAGGCAATGTTCAACCTTCCAAGTGAAACATGGGGCCAAGACTGAGATCCTTGACTATGTACATTACATTTAAGACTCTTGGCGCAAATCCAATGATGCGCCAATGCGGCAGAATAATTGTGCTAAAAGTTTAATTGACGAAACATTGCCATAAATCAATCGAGTGCCGACCGGCAAATAGGCATTATTAGCATTTTCCTTGTGGAAGCGTTGCTGAAAGCACTTTGCAATGAACGTGACAAGTGTAATAAAGGAAATGCTCGATGCTGAGAGATATTGGTTCTTCACTCTTCTCCAAAGTTTCACCACCATATGCAGAGCGTGTTATCTCCCTTTTATTGCATCTTCTTGTTCTTATGTTTTAGGACATTGAGGCATTGAGGTGATATGTCAAAGTATTTCCTTTGGAAAAAAAACCAGATTATTCTGCTTTCTTTGACCTTAAAAAGTCAAAGCTCCAAAACCAGTGTGGTCTTGTTAAGCAACTTTTATTACATGCAGTTGTATGCTGCTAGATCTTCTTTACTCGTGAGTTCAGAAAAAGAGGCCATTTAAGCTCTTCAGTTGATCATTATTCAGATTGTTTTACCACCAAGATATCCGCCGTTCTTGTGCTTGACAAATGTTGAAATTTTATACCTGTTCGACACAATTTAAATTTTGCAAAATTGATTTGATTTAATTTATACTGATGGCTTTCGAACATATGCGCTTTCTAGTCCCGCTGTTGAGGACAGCGTTGGGAAAATATGTAATATCTGGGAATCAAGGACATTACAGTTGTCTTATTTTGCCGTCGGGTGGTTTACTGATTTTTTCGGCTGTCTAATCTGGAGTGTCGAATATTGTGGGGTAGGTCTAAAGTTGTCATCGCATATGTGCAGCAAACTTGTCAGTAGTACGGGGGCTCCTAAATCCTAGTGAAGCAGCGGCCTCCGTATTTGGGGCCAGATTGGAAAGCTTCTAGGCACTTTTGCTATCTTTTGAGAGCTTTGAGTCGGCATCGAACTTTTGAGAAAACAATTTTGCTCTCGTTAGATTGCACTTGATGCTGGTTAGGTTCGTTTGGACTGCTAATTCACTTGCTTAGCTCAACCGTTGTTAGGATTTACTACTCTGAAGTGCGATAAGTTTGGCTCCATATTTTTGTTGCCTCAAAATGTCCAGAACTCTGTGGCGCATCCTAACTTTGATGAGTTTTTGGTACTTCTCTCCGGAGCCATTGCAAGCATATGCAAAACGTTTGGTTGAACGGTAAAATTTAGCTTTTAGTCTCCTTTCTTTGGAGACTTACATGGGAAGCGTTTGCAAATGGCCCGTTCTTGTGTTACTTTTTACGTGATGTTAGTGCTTTGCAGTAAGCAATATATTTTCACTGATTGCAAAACACTGCGTTTTTGTTGATACACGATTTGCCCATCATATGATGAGTTTATTGCGTACTGTGTTTTCGTGGGAATTTTCATCGGTGGTGGCTGGACAATGGATTGCTTAGATAGATGGTGCCGGCTCGCTTTTATAATAAGTTACACTTTGTTCTTTGGTTTTGTTGGGTTATTGCAGAAGTTGCAAGCTCGAGTCTCTCACATCTCATGAATTTTGAACGTTTCGGGATCGGGTACTGTATAGAAGTTACAAACGATACTGTGTGGCAAGTACGCAGAAGGATGGTCATCAGTAGTTTTAACTCCTTTATATTGGCGGATAAAGTCCCATAACTGAAAGCAGCAGAGTTAGGAAAAGCATATTCTATAGCCCAAGTGACCACGCTGTTTAGTATTCAGCAGATTATGATTAGGAAATTTTCTGGTTGTCTTGGAGGTTCCTGCAAAACCGAGGTATCCCCAGAGCATTTCGTTTTCAGGAATTTAATTGAACATAGTCCAAGTCAGCTGTGGCACACTACGCTTTTCAAGGCATACTCGTGAAAACGGAACTTTGGCCTTTCTGAGGATCCTTTATTATGCAATGCCACATAAGTGCTGATTTCGTTGGATTGCGTGGAAATGTGCCTTTGTTTAAAGACGCAGCGCTAGGTCTCAAACGGTGTTAGGTGAGTCGTTCACATTGTCTAAAAGTTTGAAGCTACCTACTGGCTTGGGAGAAAGTGGTCTCACCTTTTTTCCAAAACGAATCTCATGATACTTTTACTTCACTGGCAAAATACCGAGATTTTCCGTATAGAGTGAGAGTATGGGCATCAACAGCTATCCCATTCTGCAGTTATCTCCGAAAAACTCGAAAACAGTGGTGGTGGCTCCCATGCGATTTGGGCATTAAACACACACACCACTTTAAGCTTCTGTCCTTTGCACACGTTTGATTAAACAACGTCCATCAATTACTCGATAACAAAGCACAAAAATAACTCCCATATGGCTTTCGAATGGATGTAATAAGGCCGTAATTCAACTCCATTTTCTCCTTTCAAACGTTTGAAATGTCCATTTCCATTCTCCTTAGAGTCCCAAGGCGCCCGGGGTGTTACTTTTGCAGCGTCAACGAGATTACTGTAGAATAATTACCGGTTGTTCTCCTTATTTGATTGAACAATGGATTCAGAACCTGGAACATGCATACTCTAGGGCTCAATGTCAACAAATACGCCTATTTTTCAGATTCGTCCACGCTGCAGGTGAGTGGAATGACATTCGGGAGGGATATTTTTGATTTCCCTGATTGAATGTGTTTCAAAATAGGCACTGACAGAGTTTTCTTGAAAGTTCTGAAGTTTTTCTGTGACTTCAGGTAGATATTCCTGGACCGTCACGCGCTGCACAGTGCAGTTTCACAGGAGGAAAGGAGAGCGACTGAAACAGATAGACGTCATCTACCTGAATTCTCCTTTTGAATAGCTGACTAGCTGGCTGGCTAGCTGTTCCACCGGCAGACTTATAGACAAGGATTTTCTACAAACGGTTCTTGAATAGAAGTAACCGAAACCAAATGCCAAAAAATTATAAAACATTTTAATTCAAGATACTATTCTCTTACTCTTCCGCCAGCATATGTATCATTTCGCAGTAAAGCAGCTTAGCGTGTGCGAATGCGTAGCCACCGCCTATTTACACGAAAAATTATTATGATTTTAAGTAGCCTCCTACTCGGGCGAAGGTCAGTTTGTGGGCGGAAGAACGTAACAATTGAATTAAGATCTATTTGAATACTTTTCGTGATGGAACTGTTCAGGCGATTCCCCACACGGAAATTATTCTACTCATATACTTTGTGTGCATATCTATGCTTCACCTGGACTTCAAATAAGTGGCTCTTGAATTCCATGGGGTCGTGGATTAGTGGAATGACGTTCTGCGTTTTATATTCACCGGAATTACCTATGTGAAATAAAGATATGATATCAATATTCACGGGTGGCAAGCTTACCAGTTCATAGTCTCAATCTGAAAACTTCTTGTGATGAACATGACTGATACTCTATTCATTGCTCTATTCATTATTCTCCTGTTTTAATATTCTATATGCTGTACATATACGCCAATTTGAAAACATACGTTCTACTTGTTGCGCTGATCTGAATTCTGGATTTCTAGTCCGTCGCGTTATCCCGATATAAGTCCGAAACTTAATTCTCACATTTTGGCGTCGCGATTGGAACAATTCATCATGCCTGCGGAAATGGAACCATTAGATGTTAATTCAACTGCGCGTGACGTAGAAGATTATTTGAAACGGTTCGACATATGGTGATTCACAAAATCCGATATGGATGATAAGAAACTCACTGCATATTCCCTACATTTCGTTGGCAAAAAGGCGTACACTTTGATCAAAAATTTAGTATATCCTGGATCTCCAATCGATATTTCTTACACTGCATTGAAGAAAAGTTCTTGAACTCTTCAAACCGATGAACTTCGTGGCAGCTGAAAGAGCTAGGATCAAAATGTTGATCCGCTCCCATTCTCAGTCGGTTCGTGATTTCGCGTTGCATCTGCAGACTCAGGCAGCCAAATGTGACTACGGTGCCCAATTGGAAGACCAGCTGCGTGATAGATTCATTGCTGGCATTCAGCTGCCCGAATAACAGCAGAAGCTGTTACTCTGTCCAGATCAGAAATTTCAAACTATTCGGAAAATATGTGAGCAGTATGAAAATGTGAAGCATGTGACGAAGACTGAGGAAGCAGTCTTGTTAAATTATTCTAAAAGAAATAATTCATGGATGCGGACGAACAACAAATTCAAACCTCGAACAGATTCTCGTGCCCCAAATCCATCAACACATCACTTCACAGATCCTAACCCTAATCCGATGGCTCAAAAATTTGGGAAATGTGAGTCTTGTGGACGAAACCATTCCGGATATTCATGCCCCCACAGATGAGCAAAGTGTTTCATCTGTGGTAAACCAGGACACATTCAACTTGTCTGTACGTCCAAGAAAGTGTGTCACTTAACTTCTGACCCAAATACTGACGTGAAGGCATTATCTGAAGATATTTCTACTCTTTCTCTATCTGTTTTGTCCCAAAATTCTTCACGTTTTTAAGATGTTGACATCCGCTTCTGGTCAAAAGCATGAATTTTTTGTTGATAATGGTAGTCTTGAGTAAATGATTCCACAATCAGATCTAACTGCACTCTACCCGAGTTCCGTGATAGTGCCTACAGATGGTAACATTCGCGGTATCACTGGGCATTCTGTACCTTTATTTGGTAGTTGCACGATCCCTGTGAGGTTACCCTAAAGTACCTCTACAGATTGTAAGTTTTTGGTTTCAACGTCGGGACCATCGACTGTCGGACTCAAAGTTCTGCGCTCACTGCAAACCAGTATCACCGTACTGACGTCTGTGAATGAGAATAAAATCAAACAACCGATTCCTAAATGTCCTAAGCCTACAGGTGGCATGCAAATACCCAGGAGACGAATTGTTCCATTTGGCTTACACGAGCCTGTTCGTCAAGCGTTTCAACGAGTTCGTGCCGACTACTGTGGTCCTTTTCTCGGCAAGTACTACGCTTTGGTCGTTATTGACGCATATTTAGGTCGGCCTGAAGTTTTTCTAACTACTTCTTCAAGTGCCGAATTCACTCAGCAAGCCTTGAAGAAATCATTCAGCCATGAAGGTGTACCAACTCTTTTGGTCACTGAAAACGGCACACACTTCCCTGCAAAATTCCTGGAGGAATGGTTTAAATTTCTTGGATGTCGACATCTGTTTGCTGCTCCGCGAAATCCACAATTGATTGGACTTGCTGAGAATTTTATCCGAACACTAAAGTCTGCGATTACTTCACTCTCTTCCACTACTCTTGTGGAATTGGACCGTGGGTTTGATAATTTTCTAATGCAATACGGGAATGCTGTTCATTCTGTTAGTGGGAAGAGTCCCGCGCTTCTATTCAAATCTCATTCGTTGCGTACAGGTCTTGGCTGTACCAAAACGGCTGATGTTACATTTTCCAAGGGTAATGATTTACGACCTGCTACAGGAATAGTACTTTCATCAAATGGCAAACGAATCGTCATAATTCTCGATTTGGATGATCTCGCTTGCCACCGGAGGCACATTGACCAGGTTGAGTTCAATACAAGTGATCAGTCCGTTAACTGCACTCTTGCTGTTTCAAAAACTAGTGAATCCTTTGTAGATGATCTTATGGTATCCGAACAAAACATTGTATCTGAGGAACGCACTACCTGTGAAGATTCTGAAGTTTCCATTCCGAGAAGATCCGAAAGATTGCAGTCAAGGCCACCACTGGACTATATACATCCACACGCTCATCCAAGGTGTGGCGGATGTGATGAACGTGACTGATACTCTATTCATTATTCTCCTGTTTTAACTTTCTATATGTTGTACATATACGCCAATTCGAATACGTACTTCCCTAGGGTTATTCCGATATAAGTCCGAAACTTAATTCTCACATTTCTTTAAGTTGTTTGGGCAGGTCCTCAGATGCAACGAGGATAACCGTGGGAAGAAGGATATTTCATGTACACAAAACCCCATTAATTCGGCGCGCGCTTTAGGATTTATAAGTTTCCTGTTGCGTCCAGGCGGTATGACAACGTGGACGTTGAAGGCTTACTCGACAAAAGTTTCTCAACATGGAAATCCGCTTATCCAGTCTCCCCGAAGGTGATGGCAATATGGGCAAAAGAAAGAAAGGTCGTGTTTCATGATCACCGGGTTAGTACGCTGTCAAGATACTTTGAAGATACACGATGAACAGTTTCGATGGTGGTTTCGCCATCTCATGATGCATGGGGATAAACGTTTTTGGTTTGTCCTGACATAAACCTGTCACCTTATCGTGGTGGCCAGGTTTATGTGCTCCCAAATTCCTGCGGGATGTACTGGCTGAAACTCAGTTCCTAAGGGCGCAACTTGTGCCAGGAGAAGCAATGGGGAACACATCGACGAACAACAATGAGTCACCACACTGCGAGAAATCGTATTACTTAGCAGACTGAAAGTAAAGTCGTGCTGTCCTCAGGGATAGGAGTGTGAATGAATTAAGACTGCTTCCAGGCGACTAGCATGTCCATATTAATGGAAACAGCGATGTTTCCTTCCCTGTAGGAGGCACGAATAATAAATTAAAAATTATAAGAGGCTAGCGCTAAGAAACACACACTCCGATGGGACGACTGTTGACCGCGAACGCCGGCCTATTATTGAATACGGTCTTAATAATTTTAAACACAAAGTGTTTTGTGCTGCTCGAAGATCACTTGATTTGAGCCCTCGGATATGCTAGCCACCTACAGCCAAGTGTGTCACCCCATTGAGCTAGATAGGGTTCTCCAAGATGAACCTAATAAAGTTCGTCTCACGATTCAGAGCCTTGTGGTCAGGTTTTGAGACAAAATCTCAAAACGAGGTGCCGAAACCAAAAAAATTTTCGACACAAAGTTGTTTGGATTTCTGCCAGAAAATATTGCACAGAAAACAAACCGGAATATACTAAATTTCTGAACCTAATGTCAGCAAATTATGAAGAATTGTGCAACAGCCAAATTTTGCTGAAAACCTACGATCCCTATTTGTTGAGGAAAAGGTTGCCGTTGATCTGTTCACCGAGCTTGGCAATTGGCTTGCAAACGTTTCGTCACAATACGAGGAGACACCATCAGTGCGCAGTTGAGTGGGTACT